GGTGTGGTGGTGCTGAATGTGGATGCGATAGAGGTGTTGTTGGTGATGGTGGTGGTGGTGGTGGTGCAGTGGAGCAGCCAGTGGTGCTGCACGCAGCTTGGTCGGATGCTGCTGCTGGCAATGTTGCCGCTGCCACCACGGCTGCTCCAATAAAACTGAGTTGCATGCAACGGCTGGTAATTAGTCTCCACAAAGCGCTGCAGCAGCTGCCATCGAATCGCGTCCACTCGCATCCATGTGAAGGATACGCCGCGAACTCGTCCTTTTTTCCAGTGTCGTGTGTTGTGCGGTGTTCTACGAAACGAACAAGTCGAAAAAGCCAGAAACGATGCCGAGTCATCTAGTTGCCAGCTGCCTTCTGCTGGCCTTGGCCCTAAACATGAGCCTGGCGGCCATTCACAAGCGCAGTGGGGCCCAAGCCAATTCGCTGGGCGTGAATCCGGAGAGCAAACCGGTGGCAAATCCTGCGGCCAGTGTGGAGAACACGGACCTGCTCGACAAGCTGAGCTGGAAGTGCGCCAACAACGCGAGTTGCCTGTACGGCGTGGCCAACGGCATTATGGCCTCCTATCGGCGCGGCGAGACCCTTAAACTGGGCCTCTTCGACCTGGTCAAGTTGCCCGAACTGGACGCCTCGCACAAGCGCAAATGGGGCACTGGCCGCGGCCTGTCCAGCTTCATGGACTTCGTCACGGGCAACGCAATCAGGGTGCCCGTGGGCCCCATGGTGTTCAGTGTCCAGCGGGCCGAGGACGACAGCGAGTATATCGAGGTGGCCCTGCTGAAGAAGGCCTCCAGCGGAACAGGTAATGAGACGAGAGGCCCAATCAGCGGCTGACATGTGCCTGCCATCTAGGCGGATGTCATTCAAGCCCGGCGGAGAGGCTTAACCAGCTGCTCCTGCTTGACATGCCGCTCGCATGTGGGCGATCAAGGACTTTGATACCCATAAAGAGACCCTGAGAGATGTCTACACTCTGCAAACGAAAGTGGCAGAGTAGAAAACTGGAGTTTTAGGAAAAATTAGTTGTGCATTGTTTAGGTTTTCGGAAAGTTCATGAAATCTAGCAGCCCTCTAGGAGAATAACCCATTTAGAGTAATTTTGCAATAAGGGTAGGCAAAATATAGAGTATATTGTCTGAAAAAATGCTGATCTTAAACCTTTGACACACACGAGATTTTTTGAAAAATTATGGGTTGATTATTATGACTACAAATCAGAAAAGACTCTGTAATTAAAGTAAAAAAAGTAAACAAAAATGCCGTTTGAGTAGAGAGCATATTAATTTCCTAAGCTTTTGCTATTATTACGAGTGTACTCTTCCGGGCAAACTAGCCCAAAAGCTACTTTCTCACCCAATGCATATCAATGAATTGGCCCTGTCCAAACTGCCGTAACTTGGCCCCATTTTAATCTGACATTCGATATACATGGCAGGAGGGCATCAATCATACCGCATTCTTTGACAGGAAAGGGGCGGGCCAATCAAATCCTGTGTCGCACTATTACGTATACGTACGAGTGCCATTAAAGCCGTAAAGCCTAAAACGTGTCTTGTTTCCCAAAATTCAAACACAGGCCGCCTGCAGGGCAATGGAGGAGGCGGAGGACTTCTAGGCGGAGGAGGAGGTGGCCTCGGAGGAAACGGCGGCGGGGGCGGAGGTGGATTACTGGGCGGCGACAACGGGGGGCGGAGGCGGCCTCATGGGCGGACGGCGGCGACACCAGCACCAGGACAAGAAGCAGTTCCAGATGTTCATTCCCATGTACTTGGCAGCCACAACATTTGGCTGGACGATGGTGGCCGCAAAGGCGGTGGGACTGCTCACCCTCAAGGCGCTGATCTTGTCCAAAATCGCCTTTGTGGTGGCCGCCATTGTGTTGATCAAGAAGCTCATGGACAACGCCAGCGAAAAGTGAGTATAATAAACAAATACATCAAATACAGACCTCGAATTTATCATATTAAAGAGGTTAATAGCCCCAATAAAAAATAAAAAAATTAATGAAAGTTGGAAAAGCGTAACTTATTTTTTAGAGCTTATTGTAAGCTGAAATTACATTTAATAAGAAGAAAGCAAGATTAATGGGCGGATGGACATGGTTGGTTTGACTTTCCTTGTGATACTGATCAAGAATATATATTATTTGGGTTGGAAATTAATTATTAAAGTTCTCAAGTCCATACGTTTTCGCAGTTCCTATTTGCTTTAATAAATATAATTTTGTTTGCTGACTAAACTCAAAATCGAGAAAGTTAAAAACGAATTTATTAGCTTTAAATTGTTTTAGCTTAAATTTACACAAATTTTCTATTTTTCTTGTATATACCATTATTGTTTATTATTAGATATAAAAACTTTTGCATGTATTAAGGTAATAAATAGTGATTTCATTTCAAATTATAATTAGTTGAAAGAGATTTGAACTGGAAGCATAAGAAATAATATCGGTTAGTAAAGGTGTCATTTGTAAAAACATAACTGGTATCTTAAAAATCTATATAATAATTTCTTGTTGTTTTAGTAAAAACTTTCTAAGGCAGATATTAAATTTATGGCTATTGTATTACATATTCAAATTCGGATTTTACGGCTACAAAGGGTTGGACTAGTTGGGTTGGGTTTTTTACCTAAAAGAATTAATTAATTTAATTAATTTAAAGCAATTATTTTTCTTCAGTAAAATTTAATTAGGGAGTTAGAATTTTGTCTTTAGTGGGAAATACACTAGATAAATATTAATTGGTCTCAAATCGGTTGACAGGATGATGTATCAGTTCCCCGAGCAGACGCCGTACATGATGCCGTACGGCATGGACTATTCGATGCACGGCGCTGAAATGTCTCCGGAAATGTACCCGGGCTCGCTGCATCACCTGGCGATCGCCGGTGGCGGACAGCTGCCGGGTCATCCTGGACATCCGGGACTGGAGAGCCTGAGTGCCGAGAGCCATCTGCACTCCGCCCAGGTGTCCAGCGATGGCAGCAACAACACACAGGTGCTGGCCGCTCTGGGCGGACTTGGCGGCCTGGGACACAAGATCAAACGTGAGGACGCCTGGATAGCCAAGAGTAAGAGTAAGTTGATGCAGCCTCTCGCTATTTCAGATAGTCGGGGGAAGGCGCGGGGCCCTTAGACCTCCCAAACACTCCCCATCCTTTCACCTCTCCATGGCCAAGGTAAACTCCCTGAATGCGGCGGCGGTGGCAGCGGCTGCGGCCGAGGGCGCAATTGAAGACGACCTTGAGGATGAAGACTGAGCAGAGTACTTATTACATACATTTGTTACCAAGCACGCACACATGGGGTGTGGTTTCTCGAGGGCATATCACGAAGCCAGAGCACATTTATTTGCATTTAAGGGGTCCTCAAATTGTAAATTGTGTTTCAAACCTTCAGGTTGCGTTTCTTCAAAATTACTGTACCAAAAGTTAAGGCATTTAATTAAGTGCAGATTACTTAAGTGCATTGTTCCTAAATTACCTCAAGGTTTATTTTATAATAATCACAGAAAATGCATGAAAGTTTCCACTGATGTTATAGCCGAGTATATCAGAATTTAAACGTTCTAGTTTTTATCTTCAGAATTTGTGAAATACGTCTAAATTATTTTTTTTCTACCGCAAATTGGGAAAAACGGAGTCTGTTAAGTGTAGTAGAATTTTAAAGGTTATTTTTTTGGGAGTAATATAAAAAAATATTGACAATATTTTAGTTTATTTTGATTTATGGGTTTTTAAATTTTACATTACACAATAAACTTTTCCTGGTTTGGTTTGTAAACATTAATAGTTAAGTCAGGTATAAATAATAATCGAAAATGTATTTTAAAATTGAAGCGCCATTCGATTTTTATAATAGCTTAGTTTAATGAAATGAAAGCCTGTAACTTGTGCTCTTTCCATGCAGTTGCCTTTTCGACAATCAGTTGTCAGTTAACTGTACAACATGAATGTTTCTTTTGTAAAAATAGTTGCATACTTTTTAGCTGCTCTACCTATTTCTATTTTAACATTCACAAGCAATAGAAAAATCTGTAGAGGGGTACAAATTTCAATCGTTATTTTAGCTAAGTTGAATAGAGAAACGCATAGTGATAATGCATAGGCGGTTATTAATTTATAGAAGAGGTGTGGAATTTCCATTCCACAATCCACCCCTAACACTTTTCCGAGATCCACATTGGTCCCCTTCAACCTGGCCTCTATGAAATTTATTGTATCTGTGCACATCCCAACACGCCATACCCTGCACCCACTCCCGGTGGCCAACAAGTGGCTCCGGGCTATCAATTACTTGCCTGATTAACGATGGAGCTCGTGTTGCAGCCACTCCCGCCCGACGACCTCTGATCTACAACTACGTGCAGCCCCACATGCCGTACTACCGCTCCTGAGGCGACGATTAGCCAATTAGCAGCTACCAAAGACCCCGTGGGTAGTAGGAGGTTGCTCTGCTGCCATAAGGACCCGAGTACCGGACATCTTGCATCGGAATAGCAACCTAGCAAAATAGCGAGCTTGCGTATTACTTATGTTATTATTTATTGAATCGTTCTTAACCTAGTGAAACCTGACGCACACATTTAGTCTAGTTCAATGTCTCTGTAATTAGCAGTCAAAGTGCTACAAAAACTAAAAAAAATATTAAAGAATTGGACACAAAGTTGTTCAGAAATTGTAATCGCTTGCGTATGCTTTTTATTTGGTAATAAATATAAATAAATAAATAAATTAAGTGTAAATTAATTACAAATGAAAGAATGAGCAATATTGAGAAAACGGAGAAGTGAAAGTGAACCAGAGAATGACAAAGAGTTGCAAGAGTGTCAGTAGCAGAGAGAGAGTGTAATTCTAGGGGAAAGTAGTGAAAGTGGAGAGATCCAGAGAGAGATAGGAGAGAGAGAGCGTGAGAGGAGTTTCCCCAAGCCAGCAGGAAAGTGTTAGCGGAAAACCCAATTTAGTTCATTCCTGATCTAATGACATACATAACAGGTTAGTTAGCAACTAGCTTTATTGCGCCACTTTCCCCGGCTGCTGGCCACTGTAGGCCAGGTTTTGGGCCAGGTTTTGGGCCTGCTCCTGGGGCAGCTGCACCTCCTTGGCCAAAACATCGGCGGGCACGTCCACCAGACCCTCCACGAACCCATCGAAGGCCCTCGACCACCCGGAACTGTAGCTGTCGTGGTGCGACGGCACCTCCACGATGGTCTTCTTGCTGGATAGCAGCTTCTTCAGCGAAATAATCACTGCCAGCAGAAGGGCGATCTTCGACACAATCAGCGCCTTTCCGGCCAGCAGGAAGAGACCCTTGAGCAGCAGAGCTCCCACCATTCCCGTCTTGGCCGCCATCATCATGAGCAGCGGTCCCATGTTCTTCATCTTGCCACGCCCCTCCTGCAACGCCTCCAGGGGGCGCACGGACACGCCCACATTCAAGCTGCCCTCCGGATCGCTGTTCATCACAAAGTCCGCGTTCTCCGAGAACTTGTAGCGCAGCGAACGCGAACGGATGAACTTCCACAGCTTGTTGGCCATCAGCAGGGCAAAGGTCTCCTCGTCGGAGCCCATGGAGCGGGACAGCAGCTGGTCCACCTCCGGGTCATCCGGCACCATCGAGATATTCCTGCAATAATATGAATTAAAAAGTAAAGCTAATCAATACATCACATTGGACGGCAGTACATGTAGTGACAACTCGCACTTTTAGAGTGAGACCAGAACACTACTGACATATAGCCACAGAATTGAACGACTTCTATCGACTTCATTTCATTTGCATTTATTTTTCAATAGCTTAGCCAAAGATATAAAATTTCATGCAAAGGGTATTTTATGAGATGTGTGGTATTTTTCAAAATTTTGTTATAATATATATATTATTATTTTTTTGAGATCTTTCTACTATCTTAGTTCATCAAGATTTTGTTTGTATTCTTAAAATATAACATTTTTACCAGCGTCGCCTAATTCTTTTCACTTTAAATTCTTGAAAATAGCACAGAAAATTATAAAGTTGAAAATAATGAAAAAAATTGATATTGGAAGAATATAGTCTAGGAAGGCTTTGAAACATTATTCTTAGATACTTAAAAATTGCAAAGTCTTAAAATTTCTAAATTGCAGTTTAAATTTTGTAAAAAACGGATGACTTTATTGTAAGGCTGTCATAGAAATAATATAGGTATGTCCAGAATTTTACTAGTAACTAATTTATGTTATTTGAACTTTGTTCTATTTAAACTATGTGCATTCTTTGTTGTGTCAATGGGCATAATTTTTAAATCTTAAAGCCCAATATATTATTTTGATCCTCATTTTAACATTAAGGCGAGGACTTTCTTATCAATTATTTGCCCTCACTTATATATTTGGTTGATGCTGATAAAACTTCCCAACTCACCAGTTTTCCGTGACCTTAACGCGGTCGCCGAGATCAAGTCGGGTGTTCAGGTACAGGTGGTTCATTACAATTGACATCTTGATCATCCTGCAGGCTCGATCGTCCTCCTGCCTGCAGTTTTGTTTCAACTTTGCCAAGAGGAAATCTTCAATATTCCGGCGCTCGCTGTCCGTAATCTGAAAGAAGAATAAGTGTTTCATAATTTATAATAATTATATAATTTATTTATATAATTTCGAACTAGTCCTACAAAAACTCTGTTGGGAACTATATAAGCAACCTTCATAAATAACTCAAAAAAAGCTTTGGTTCTAGAAGATGATTTAGAAGGCGTCTACTTAGTAAGGAAGGTATTTGCCAAGGCTGCTTATATTTTTTTTTAAAGGACAATGATTTAATCATAGTAATTTTGTTTAAAAAATATTATAGCAAAATTAATATATTAAAAGCACTTGAACTTAATTTCTCTTATCTTAAAATTTTACTGAGGTCGGCATTTTGAGGTCTCGTCCTGTTAGAGGACTAAATACCCAACCATGCTTGAATTTTAATCTTTGAAAATTTTCTTTGGCAATACTGGCGGTGAACTTTCAGATAAGGCCATAAATTCGGGCGGCCAAAGTAAAGGACACTGGCTCTGTTTTTCTGTGGGCCAAAACGTTATCCTTGTCACTGACAATTAATGCCCGTTCTATCAAGCACTTTGTTAACTTTTTCAACTTTTCCGGACTTTCTGGGGGTCATTTCCTTACCGTAACGGGGCCATCCCGCCTTTTGCTGCCGCGGGCGGAAACGAGGACGAAAAATAACGCCAGCAGCGCGCAGACCTTAAATGTTTGCATTGTGGGTCTCGATTTTCGTCTTTTGGTTTGCTTGACCCGTTCTTTGTTATAACGTTCAGTTCGTGGTTGGTTTTTTTTTTTTTTTTTTGGGTTTCACTGGGTGTCACACACGTATCTTGGGTATATTTCCTGGGCGTATCCTTCTGCTCCAAACACACACACTCTCACAAACGACCGCGTCTTCGCTTTGCTGGAAGTGCTACGCTCTTGCTGTTGACATCGTCGCCTTGATAGAAAACCTAATGCGAATTTTCCGCCAGTGAATTCGATTTTATATGAAAAGCGGCCAAATGCGCTGCAACCACAATACAGGTCTCTGCCGCAGTCGACGCCGGCGTTTGTTTTTGCAGGCACTCGATGTTGACTTTGCACCTGAAACTGGTCGCCAAAAAGACCAGCTCCTTGATTGAAGCCACACTCGTTTGGCCAGTTTCCGAGTCGGCGAGTTTCGGAGGCTGGCTCTTTTTGGCCTTGTCTCTGAACTTGCCACCACATTCTGCCACCCATTTTCTTCGACGACAAGTTCTGCTCTGCCTTTGTTGTCTTTGCCAGCGAGGGTCGTCAACAAAAACACAGCCAGTTGAAAGTAAACAACAGACCTAATTCCCAACAACAAAGAGGCCAATTTTCCCACACTATTGTGGTTGGTGCGGAAAAGAGGCTGGAAAAGTGGGCAGAGAGAGGCAGAGAGTTGGCAGCGAAAACTATAGTGCCATTGACAACACGCATGCAAACCTGAAAACTTTTCAGTTGGGCCAATTAGTCAAAGGCTCTTCATTCCACGGAGAATCCAATGACAGGGGCGCGACTTAAAGGGCAAACTTGGCATCTTAGTTTGTCAAGCTATAAACTTAAATCCAGAAAATTGTACAATAAACTTTTAGATTTGTTGGCAACATTTAGTATTTATATATTTTCATGATGGAATTGTATAGAAAACTTAAACTAGTCCTGGCCGACTATGTTATGTTTTTTATCCAGCTTAAGAATTGTGCTTCAATAATATTTTTAAGAACTTTTGCTTTTATGTGGGTTATGGCTGAACATCTGACTATTTATTCGATAATTCAAGCGACTTAAGTTAAGTTAGTCCAGATTGCTTATAAAGAAATCTATGTTTTATATTCCTATATAACAGTTTTTTTTTAATAAAGTACATAATGATAATATTTTAATATTTAAAAAATGTCTGGTTATATATTGAATATCTGAACAACAAACAAAATTATATAATCCAGAATGATTAAAATCATAGTTGCAATTCTAGTAAACTAGTAGTGGTAAACTAGTTTGACCTTTTATGCAATTATTCCTCTTGTAAACATTTGCTTTTGTTAAATATTCCAATACACTTTTATTCAGAATTAAAGTTTAATCTTTTAATCGTCTTGTGTGGTTATTGCAATACATTTTCCGACCCCCGTTGCGGTTATCAACTGCTGCGATGCGGTGAAAACTCGAGCTCTTTTTTTCCCACCGCTGAGGGACCGCCCTTTGTCTCAAGCAATTTAAACCCGCCACACGCGAGATGCATGTTCCCGGGCCTTTTGCTTTTAGCCGGAACAGATTAAGAGCAAGTGTAATTTATTGCATTTATTACGGATCCATCCGTGTCCCGTGGGCGTGACGGCCCAACAGGTTGTACGTCCGCTGGACATTTGCCGAGGAAATTCAATCAATTTCCCCGCCAAGACCAAAGTTATTGCACACACCGAAAATTGGCGGCCAGCCGCAAGAGACGCTCGAATTTCCACAGAATTTTCACCGATCTGGAAGTAGGCTAGCCGGCTGGACAGTGATCCACCAAAGTGGGTCGCCTGGCCACGAAAGTGGTGTGCTCATGTGGTCGCAGAAAACCGCTAGCCGATCTGTCCATAAACCGTTTTGCTCCTCCGATCGCAGCTCCCAAATCAAATCACACCAAACGCCAATTGCGTCCGCCCAGGCCACTTGAGGCAACAACCGCACTGGAAAAAAATGAGAAATGCATTTCCAATGTTTACCTTCACATGTTACTTGAATAAAGGTTATTGCTGTACCTCTCCAAATATATTTGCTAAGGTCGTCTTTATAACCTTAAGAAAAAGCAATTTGCTTGCGAAAGTTGAAAGCAAGTTCCCAGAAATATAACGCAATAGACATTAACAACTCTATAGCACAATCAAATAATATTATTCAAGAGAAATAGTATCACTGGTGCGCCAAAACAATAGATTTTTGCTAAATCGTTAGTATCGATAGTGCTATCAATTGTTGTACTAAAGACGCTTAAAACAAAATACGTCGGTTGAAAAATAACAAAAAGTGTTTTATTTTATAGCATTAATTTAATGATTAAAGAGTAACAAGTAACAACAATAATGTGCCGAATTTAAAATGGAATAACTAAACCCTTAAATTAAATAATGTATGCAAGGTGACTCGAAATTTCTATGGAAACTCCCTAATGTGATTGACGAACGTACATCTAAATATGGAACTCAAGAAATTTTTTCAATTTTTTTCTGTGTTAGTGCTTAACTGGCCCCCGGCTGGAGTCATAACAATTTCTCAATCTGAAGCAAGCCTCATGGAGGCCCAGTGGTAGCGGCTGCTGCGCTTTCTTTTGGAAAATGTGGTCCAGGCCAGTCGACTCCTCCAACGGTGTTGACAACGCCAGACGCAGGCTTCTCGACTGCCTAGCTACCAATGTATCTAGCTGCCTCGCTTTTGGTACTGACTTTGAAGTTGGCCAAGCCAATCGGAGGAAGTTTGAGTCGTTTTGAGGAGACTTCGATAAAAGTAACTATAATTTGTGTTAAATGGGTAAATTTTAATCTTCCGAAAGCTAAAGTTTCTAGAATTACACATTTTTTTAATCAATTAATTATGGTTAGCAGGGATCATTACTTAAGTATAACCATCAAAAAAATTGCAAAGTTATGTTTGTTAATGTTAGATTTTCTAAATAATTATGCTAAATAGATTAACGTCTAAGGCTTTTCTGGCTAAACGGCACAAACATAATATTTAAATAAATACATTTATTTTAATATATTTGTCTTTATAGACTTTTTAAATCAGATCAATGGCTATCCCCTTAAGCAAGTATTTAATATGCATATGAAAATATAGCACAAACAAAACCCAAAAATTCTAAAAACATATTTTCAAGCCCATAATTTAATAACAACGAAACAAGCTTGGTCCTGGCTGCCAAATTGTTCATTTTTAAATCCGTTTTCTTTCCACAGAATATTGTCGAAACAGGAAAAATTACGGTGAAACGAGATTACTTGAAACGAGAGCTTTAACAACTTAAGCCTTGGCCTTAAAATGTTTTATTACCATTTTGCCGAGCTCTCTGGCAGCCCTCGATCAGAAAAAGCAAAACCAAAAAACACGCCAGTCCACTTTTCCTCAGTTTCTCGCCTTGGCATTTCATTGCCTTAATTAAAAGCTGCATTTTATTTGTATCGGCTTTGGTGTGAGTAAAAGCAGAGCAAGCGCCGAGTTTGGAGAAGCATTTCGTAGTGAAATTTTTGCCATTAATTGGAAAATGCCAGACTCGCCCCGCAACATCAATGGTTTGTTTCCTTTCCTTTCAGCACAAAACTAATTGGGGTTCATTTTAAACTTTGTTTTATTTACAATTAGCGTAATAAATACTCTTATAGGAATGCAGCAAGGCCGAGGGCCCATAAATAACAATGTGGTCCCGGGTCCTCGGAGTTAGCTCTTCTGCGGCTGTTGCTCGGCGGCAATGTCCTTGCCGGAGTTGCGGCCATAGTAGCCGTTGTAGGCCGCCTCCTGGGGATCCCCGAAGCTCACCGAGTTGCCGGCCACCTGCTGCCCCTGAATCTGCTGTCCCTGACCCTGGTAGCTTTTGCTGTAGTAATCGGTGTAGGGCTTGGCGAAGCTGGGCTCCTGGCGGTAGTAAGGTCCTGGGGCTCCTCCATGGCCGCCCTCGAAGTGCTCGTGGTGGTGGTAGTAGGTGGCAGCACCCACTCCCTGGGGGTTGTACTCGGGGAAGGTGTTCTTGCTGCCAAACAGGCCGGACAGGCCGCCGCCGAAGGCTCCTCCGACGCCACCGGGCGGACGGCAGAGCTTGAAGTAGGCGAACAGACCGGGCAGGACAATGGCGGCCAGGCCAAGGATCTTCTTGAGGCCAGCGATGCCCAGGATGAAGGGCAGGAAGAGCAGCAGCTTCAGCTTGAAGATCTTCAGCACTAGCAACAAAGGAATGATCATCTTCTTCAGCTTCTTGCGCGCTGCAAAGGGGAAATCTCAAGTTAATATATGCGCTTAAAGCAAATATTAAAGTTATGTGCTTCAATATTTAGGTCATCTTTTTTAATTTGTAAGACTTTAAGAAAAATATTGTAGCCAGGAAGCTGTTCCTTGCTCATTTCCAATTTTTTCCTTCATTGCCTTTGACATTAAAAATATGCCCTTTTTATTCAAGACTTACAGAAATGTCCAGCACGCTGTCCATCATCAATGAGGTCCAGCTCGCCGTCAATGTCGTTTCCGATGAAACGGGCCTCGTAACGACCGGCTTCGGTGAGCTCTTCTGGCCACTCGACCTCCAGAGCCGTGGACTTGATGAAGCTGCAAAGGAGCAGGAAACGTGCCGAGGAATGAGCATTTACATATTTTTAAAAATCTCATATTTTATGCATAAGCCCGGCCAACTTCGCGGCCCAAAATTAATTTGCATCCGGCACGAGCCGCAGTCATTTGGCTAATTGTGATAGCTTACCGTTCGGCCCTTCGCAGTCCATATTTCAGCAGCTGATTCCATGGGTCATCATCGCTCCTCGACTCCTCTGAGTACTCGAAGGGTTCCTGGAGCAGGGACCTCTGTTGGGTCTCGGGCATTCGCACCACTCGTGCAAAGTCGGTGAGCCTGGAAAAATAATGGGATAGCTTGATTCATATACTTGTCAAGTGGTGTATGAAGAAGAAAAATATGTTTCGTTAAGTGTGCTATATATAAAGAATATCACTACCAGATGGTTTCATGTTTAAGTTGCTTGCAGAAAATATATATTTTCTTCATTGGAAAGGTATGCTACTCCTTTGAAAAGATGGAAGTAAATTTGCATTTAATGGGGACAGATAGAAAGAAACGAGAAAAGAAGGAAAAGGAATGACTTTCCTTTGCTGCTAAGCGTCATCAAGAATTTAAAATGCTTAAGGCAATTTTTCTAGGTAAAGTAACTTTATGCGATTATGTTTGAATAAAATATTAAAGTTAAGTTGCTCACTTGTACTGGTCCTTGAAGAAGAACTCGTCGAAGGTGTTGAGGGCCTGGGTCTTGAAGCACTCGGAGAGGTCGCCGCCGAGGCAGTTGCTGTTGGTCCTGGCCAGGTAGGGATCATTGTCGTTCCCCAGCCCGAAGATGCTCAGCAGGGAGGACCTTCCCCGCTCCTCGCCGACTCCTGGCTGCTGGGGCTGCTGGGGCTGCTGGACCTGCTGGATGGGCGGCTGCGGTGCATACACCTGCTGGATGTTGTTGGACGACTGCTGGTCCGGTAAACGGAGACCTTCGGCGGCCGCCGAGCTGAGGACGGCCAGTAAGACGAGCGCTCTCATTGCCATGGCTGCAAGCAGGAGAAGATGAAGTGGTTTGAGACACGGTCGCTGGCACAAATTCGATTTTTCTTTTCAGCCGCCGAAGTTTTCTCTCAGTCACCCGATTATTCCAGCCTCTTCGGCTCTGACACGCGATGCCAAGCGTCAAGCGTCAATCGTATGTGTATAAAAGCAAGTTTTTTTGGCAACTGCTTATTGGCCTAACGGACTGGCCATCCACTTAAAAACTGACACACTTTTCAGATGGCTCTGAGGCCCCGATGGCACACTGTGCAATTAGCCGCAAAACACGTAATAACTCTCGCTTTCAAGCCAGCTTGTCACTCTTTACTCTTCGGTGCTTACTGTTAACTTATGTTTG